GAAGGTTTGGATAAATAGCTGTAAAGATATTATTTCAATGACATAGATACACATCTACAACAGTGTTGTGTGCCACAATTATGTTGAGACAATCTAGGACTGAGGTAATATATGCCAATCTGACAACACCCTGTCTACAAAATGGCATTGTTTCTTTTTTTAATTTTGGGATGACACTTCATATTTCGAATTGCGATGACATGGTCAAGGTAGGCTATTTCAAGCGGACAGCGTTTGAGCCATAACCAATCGTTTACTTCAAATATTAACCATCACATCTAGCTTTCACTGTCGAAGCCATTTTATATTTTCAACTAATGACAGTAATAAAATCATGTAATTTCGTAGCTTGAGCTCTTCCACACTACTCTGACATGGTGATGACAAGACTTGACACGCACTTACTTGTTGTAGACTTTAATATCTTTTCATCGAAAAAAAACCTTTACAATGTTCAAACATGAGTCTCATGTATCCTCAAAATATAAGTATCTTGTCTGATCTCAAAATATCTCGAAACCCATCACGAGTACTCGGGCTACCGGTTTATCAACAAGATATCCAACCGACGAGGTTTTGCACGCATTCTTCAACATCTGCGTCTATTCTTCACAAATGCATAATTACTTCGCGAACAACTGGATGTGTTTAATGCAGCATAAACTAATCTGAGAACACCCTTTGTTTGGTAAACGAGGCAACAAATCCCCCCTTCTCCACTCGCCACGTGATCCTAAACTCGCACAAGTACAAGTCAACCTACCCTTCATCAGTGGAAATTTCCCATAAAATTTTCCTATATTATGAAACGTATTATACATGATTCATTGTGGAATGAACAACTGCAAAAGAAATGTCTGGGCATGTATGAAGGTTATTCAACATACTTTTAATTACGTGACGCTTCATAACTTGTACGAAGAGGGGGCGCCGGGGGCCCAGTCGTCCAAGGCGCCGCGATTCACTGGGCACGCCAGAATCCTATGATTGTGGGTTCGAATCCCGGTGGCGCCGATTATATTTCTAAGTTTGTCAGCACCATACCCGTGTTCGTGGGTTTCACCACGTCTGAGACCTGCATCACTTCGGGCTTAACTCCAACATTAAGCTGACACGCCGTGATATAACAGGAATATTGTTAAAAGCGGCGCTAAACCAAACTCCCTCACTCACCCACTCAGACAAGAAGATAATGAGGACGAGACGTGATGGTTCCGTGAGACTACGTCAATATCTATGTAATGACCGCTTATTTACTGACCCGCTGGATACCGAGTTTTTTTCAGACGCACATTTTCCTAAGATCTAAAAAGAAAAGGTTATGCGAGAATTGCGCTCACACGGAACTAGATGTACCGCCGGCTATATACTGACGCAGAGATGTAGAAGATGAAATTTTCTATCTGATGGTGAAACTTTAACTGCAAATTTCAAACCGGTTTACAAAAGAGACACTGCTATATGTTGTCGGAGAATTAATTCTACGTTAAAAAACAGCAAACGTCTCCGCAAATCAATACATATCAACAGGATGTATAATGCTTTTGTATAACATTATACATTCCATACATAAAATAGCCTGCCCTAAATTAAGAAAACTGATTTCCCTCATTGACGTCAAACGACGACAGAGAGGTGACCCACGTACACAGACAAGGGGGCATAACTCCGCTGTTCTTAGTATTAGTTTATTGTAACTCAAGTCACTTGGTGAGAATCACCTGTGGATAATACGGTGGCCCATAAGGGACATTGAGTCTGTTTTTCCATATTTTGATATTTCACTTACTTTTGTCGTTACCTTTTGCAAATTAACACGATTTGTCTTACAAATATGTGATAAATTATGTGTAAAGAAGATATTGAATCGCAGAAAAGTGAAACGAAATATTATCACCGCGGTGGACAAGTTTTCTGTATTTTCATTTTAGTTTTTGACATTTTCGTTTTGGTTTTTGACATTTCCGTTTTAGTTTTTGACATTTTCGCTTCACATTTCAGCGATTCTATAGCTACTTGAAAGTTCATTTTCCATGTTTTCGGTTGTTTTTATACATGATTTATTACATATTTGTATGACAAAGGTTACGATAAAAGTAAGTGAAACATCAAAATATGGAAAAACAGACTCCATGTCCCTTATGGGCCACCGTAGGATAAGGACAAGATATTTTCGTAGTGTCTTGTTCACGAGGAACCAAACTATTCAAACACAAATATCGATATTGAAACTGTATACGTTTAGGTATAAAAAAACCCATTACAAATGATGAATTCGAACTTAATGAAAAAGGAAATAATATCGAAATGGATGGCACTATCCAACTTATAAATTAGTCCATAGATTTCAACATTCTCCTGATTGGGGGGATGTAGTTTGACTCTTGTTGCGTTGTAATTATCATTTAAAAACAACTCGTATCTTATAATTCCTTTCGATCAAACTGTCTAAAGTGCTTGAAAAATGGGCTTTCCCGCTAGGGGAGACGAGATATCCGATGTATAGTATAGGCTCAAGTAGGAATATACATGTTGATGTAGCAATTCTCTAACTATTAACTGTATTGTTAACAAATGTGCGTTCTGATGTGAGTTATATATATCCACATATGTACACAGACAATGAGTCCCACACACACACACACACACACACACACACACACACACACACACACACACACACACACACACACATACACACACACATACATACATACTTTTAACAAAACTAAACTTACGATATATACATTAGATATGACAATTATAGCTGACTTAACATATGTTATAGATAATCATAATAATGCACCTTATATTGTTATCAACGTCAACTATGTGGCCACACTAAGTAGTACGTCTCACCATCTGTGCCATTTACAGAAGTACACATATGAACTGTGATTACGCCACAGCATTGGGGCGGTCGGGTAGCCTAGTGGTTAAAGTGTTCGCTCGTCACGCCGAAGACCAAGTTCGATTCCCCACATGGGTACAATGTGTGAAGCCCGTTTGTGGTCTTCCCCGCCGTGATATTGCGGGATTATTGTTAAAAGCGACGTAAAACCATTCTCACTCAGAGCGGTGTTTATTAAATTACTATATGCAAGTACATATACTTGTAGATTTGCTCACGACAAGAGACACAATTCAAGTTGATCATAAATCAAATGTCAAAAGAATATTGACGGACAACAGAATAACACACTGTTACATCATATACTACCGAAACCAAGTTATAGAACACCCACAATCATAAGATTGTATTTTGCAATACAATCAGCCATGACTAATTAACCACAGCCTTCTAAACTTCTTTTGAAAAGTATATATTTAGATTTTAACCTAATTTATTTAGAGCGTATAGCCATGATCCGCCACGCGCTTCCGGCGTGATGGTCACTAACAACTAAATAGGGCAATAAATCAATCAATTTACAGAAGAAGAAGAAGAAGAAAATATTTTATTAAGGTGTCGCATGATATACATACATAAGGTCAGACAATTAAAACACAATTATTGTATATCACCCGGCCGATATGCCCTATGGGACACCAAATATCTCATAAGTACAGATAAAAGCACATAGTGTGCTAAAAAACACAGATGTTAAAAAAAAAGAAAAAAAAAAAAGAAGAAAAAAGTACATTTAAAATAAACGATGTAAAACGTGTAAGAGGCGCGGGTGCGCGGCATGTATCCCGCATTAAGCAAATGATTGGATAGATATAGGTAAATAAAATAGATGGATAGATACAACTACATGTGCAACAGTCATAGCAATGCGAGTCAGACGACGTGCGCCCGGGTCTATAGCATATTATCAGTTATTGTAAAATGCTTTCTACGCTGAAACATCCGGTTCACTAAAGCGGCAAGGCTTGCCGATAATTCATCGCATTGCATTAAAAAGGCGAGCTGGTCAATAGGAGTCATAGCAAAGAACAATGGATTAATTTAAGACGCTTGATGGAATAAGTTATATCTTAGGTCTGAATAAAGGTCACAAGTAACTCAAAAGTGCGTTTCGTCCTCAACTCTATCTAAGTTACAAAACTTACAGGTACGTTCTGGCAGAGGTGTTAAAGGGCGAGAAAATCTTCCAACTTCAACTTCTAACGGAAGAGTGCCACAACGAAGTTTAGCTAAACAGCTACGGTTTGACCTGTTCCAGTTATTGTAGACATAAAAGAAAGTATGAAGCGTGTTCTTAAATAATCGCAATGTTCGGAGTTTATTACCGTTAGGCTGACCAGAATCGTTCCTTAAGGCACTATGCCACCTTTCACCATCAATAATAATCAGTTTTTCCTTAATAATATGTGAATCTCTCGGTAGGACATTATAAACATCTAACCCAGGAAGCTGTAAACTGTTGAGCATGTTTAGCACAGTGTTATCCCAGGATTTACTGACCAGGTTTTAATGAGGCAAACCAAACGTTTGGGGGTGCATTATTCAATTTTGACCAAAAACGTGAGATATCGATTCTATGTTTCGTTAGAGGAGATAGCCACCCCATTTCTGCGCGAGTAGCCAAGTTAGGTGTTTAGAGACCGACTCTCAAGTAGAAACGACACGCTTTATTTTATTTTACATTTTACGCAAAATTCTGTGTATTTTAAAATCCCCTCCGTCTATCCAGTTAAACTATGTTTTAAGTAAATAGTGAGAAAAGGTCAACATTCCTTCCCAATTGTAGGAGATAGATGCAGCCCCTGTAGTGGTCAACAGGGGATATTGATTTACCGCGCGCGCGAGTATTTTAGTCACATCACTTGATTTTTTCCAGGCCGATCTTATTGCTGGAACTATGCGGAAAAATAACATACAAATAATGCACATCTGTACGTTCACGCAAACGCACGCACACACACACACACACACACACACACACACACACACACACACACACACACACACACACACACACATACACGCACATACCAAAATGTCCAGAAATCGATACATCGTATATGTTACAGTGTAATCTGTGTCAACTTACGATTCTGCGAAGTTCTCTCACACAATCAGCACAAATGACGATTGATAGAGTTATACCGTTGAGTGACATGGTGCAGGGTTTTATATGTAACGGCATGTAATCGTCCATGCGCATCTTAACTGAAAACTAGGGAATTTTCCATCGTTATTGCTGACTCGGTAAGATGAAACGATACTTATTTCTCCATACGGGGGAAAGGGGGGGGGGGGTCGTTGCGCTTTGCTTACTGGTGCACAGGGATTTTTTCGCGTTCAAACTAAGCACAGATCAGTCCAGACACGAACTGCTGGTGTTTTCTGCTAGTTTGGGACTTTGGGAATTTCTTTTCCCGGTTCTCATGACCACAACAAGCATTTTCGTTTTCGTAATACCTATTTTATATTTTTAGGGTATTTCCACCTGGACTAAAGGAAGACTCCAGTGACTTTACACAGTAAGGAGGAACACCCCACCAACAACACTGATGGAGGCAATAGTCGCCCTTAACTCTGGCAACAAGCTTTGAGTTTGTAACGGGCTTCTGTCGTCGATGTAACATCTAAAATGAGGTTACTTATCCAAGCTGTGCTTCTTTAATAATAATAATCATCATTATCATCATAATGATAACGATGATGATGATGATGATGCAACATTTTTCATTTGAAAGGGAGGATCAGTCAGTTTACTTGGAGGAGGAGTTATTAACCATCTTGTGGAAGGTCAGGCCTATACGTACTTAGGGATGCAGATTAATTAGGGACAAATTCCAGAATGCCCATATCAAGGAAACTTCGGGCAGAGTACAAATGTAGACTAAAGAAATCTGATGAAAACAAGTTTCCACAGTTTTCTAAAACGAGCCAAGGGTGTGGGACATAATCTTAATGTCGGTGTTGAATTTGTTGATTCATCTGTACTGCTGGACGGTACAGAAATGAGTGTCAACCAAGTGAAGTGCCATATCAAATCGGCCCAGACTCAGTTTTTCAAGGAGAGGCGATCTGCACGACCCCTGCATGGAGTTTATGTTGAGTGTTTTGAGAATATAAGCAATCATGCAGAGTCCTTCACTTGGATGAATTCGTCTGGCCTGAAAAGTGAAACAGAAGGCTTTCTGTTTGCTGCTCAGGACCAGTCACTTCCAACTCGAAACCGTCAAGTACCAAGTTGTCCGACTCCCCATTGTTTCCGGTGCCTTAGGTTTGGTACCTTCCAATCTGTTCACTGACAGTGGGAGAGTACCCGGGTTTGCTACCAGGAATACAGCCCCTCTGACAATCTGGGTAATGCAGAAGGCTGCAGTGTTGGGGAGTCTTCACATTCTCCGAAAAGTTCTGGGTGGGTTAGACTGGGCAGCGCTTCCTTGGAGAAGTCCCATTCGCTGCGTGTAGAGGGGGGCAAGGGCCCTGAGCTGATTATGAGCCTAACCAGCCTGACTGTGCCAGGATCACCAAAACCCTTTTTGCTGCATTTTTTTATTTTAATCTGTACATAATAATAATTACAAAACAGGACAAAACCCTTTCCATAGCCAATAGAAATCACTGCATTGAGCGGAGTAGATTGTACGATTCCGATTGTATCATAAGCATATGTTTATGAATCAATATCAAATAGTGATAACACCAGCTGTTTGCGAAAAGGTGAGCGTATCCTGCCCCACCGGTGGCACCCATCACATACACATGGCAAGTCAATTGTTCACCTAAAACCATGGGAACACATGATACAGGGGTAAACAGGGAATTGCATCGGACATCATTTTTGTCACTGATGCGTCAAATTTGGAAATGCTCTTCCACATGTCTACCATAAAACATTTTGAAAGCTTTACTGAGGCCTTGAATGTGGTAACCTTGATCAAACAACTTCTGACCAAGAGCCGTGTGACGCTGTTTGAAATCTTGGTGGAAATAGCATGCTCAACTGTATCTAAAAAGTTGCGAAATGTTAACACCAAAGGCTGGAGCTGGTGGAATATTGCTCGACATGAAGGGAAAGTTGACTATTAGAAAGTTGAAGTCATCCCTCTTGTCATACAATCTTGTGGAGAGTGTTTTGTCACTCCGAATCTTTATGCATAGATCTCAATATGAAACAGATGAGGCGATCTCGCTGATCTCCTTTTTTTCTAGTTCAGGCTGGCAAATCAGTGGAAGGGAATTGGCCATTTGATTGTTATAGAACGATATCAGATCACCGGTATACCTCGAGCTTAAGTTAAACTTCTTGGCTTAAGTTAATTACCTTGTTTTGACTTTGCCAATGCGAACAGAAATTCAGATGCATAAAGAATCAGATCCACAAGAGTGAATGATTGAGTATGGTTTTACGCCGCTTTTAGCAATATTCCAGCAATATCACAGCGGGGGACACAAGAAATGGGCTTCACACATTGTACCCATGTCGGGAATCGAACCCGGGTCTTCGGCGTGACGAGCGAACGCTTTAACCACTAGGCTACCCGACCGCCCCTAGATCCACAAGAAGGGGGGTACAATTTGTGCCCATGGCGATGCCCACTTCCGGCCTCAATGTCTTACCCCCACATTTTACGTAGATGTTATCAATGAGGAAGTTCAGCAATTCACTTATTGTTTTCTCAGTAAAATTCAGATGGCATTTGCTTTAATTTTCTACAAATTTCTGAATGCAGACCTGTAATAGCTCCTCAAAGTACCTCCCAGTGACTGGTCAAGACTGATTGATGTGACTAACGGTATCGAAACCAGCTTGGTCTGTCACTTCCTGGGAGACACTGTCCAAGTGTGAACCTGGCCACCTCACCCAGTAGCAGTCTTCTGTTTCGTCAATTACAGTTCCACATCCAGGTCATCTCACTCACATTTCCCAAGAGACAGTCTTGGTGTAGGAAAGTGGCCAGCTCACCTAGCTGGATCTGACATTTCCCAAGAGACAGTTCTAGTGTACGGAAGTGGCCAGCTCACCTAGCTGGATCTAACATTTCCCTGGAGACAGTCCTAGTGTACGGAAGTGGCCAGCTCACCTATCTGGATCTGACATTTCCCTGGAGACAGTCCTAGTGTACGGAAGTGGCCAGCTCACCTATCTTGATCTGACATTTCCCTGGAGACAGTCCTAGTGTACGGAAGTGGCCAGCTCACCTATCTGGATCTGACATTTCCCTGGAGACAGTCCTAGTGTACGGAAGTGGCCAGCTCACCTAGCTGGATCTAACATTTCCCTGGAGACAGTCCTAGTGTACGGAAGTGGCCAGCTCACCTAGCTGGATCTAACATTTCCCTGGAGACAGTCCTAGTGTACGGAAGTGGCCACCTCACCTATCTGGATCTGACATTTCCCTGGAGACAGTCCTAGTGTACGAAAGTGGCCAGCTCACCTATCTGGATCTGACATTTCCCTGGAGACAGTCCTAGTTTACGGAAGTGGCCAGCTCACCTAGCTGGATCTGACATGTCCCAAGAGACACTCTTCAAGTGCGGAAACTGGCCACCTCATCCAGCTGCAGTCTTCTGTTTCGTTAATTACAGTTCTTTATCCAGGTCATCAACAATACAATTTGAAACCAAGCTCATTACAATCGGATCTTAGTGCTGGCTACCGCTACACGATACCTGAAGACATTACTTTGCAGGTCAAGTAAGAAAGACCTTTCGTGGACTTTCACTAACATGACTAACGAGAAGTAGACATCGCCAATCAGAAAACAGTTTTCTCGAGTTTTACGCCAAAACAAAGTAAACACAATTTATGGAGAACTACTTGTTTGACAAGTATAATGATCTATAAGGAACGTCGCTGTTAAACAAGTTGTTATCCACAAATAGTGTCTACTTCACTCTGCCAATAACGAAACGTTGCTGTAATGGTACATTTAGAAGTTATTATCAGCAAATAATCTCTACTCCACTCTGCCTTGAGCGCAACGTTGCTGTAATGGTTTATTAAAGAAGTTGTTATCCATCAATAGTATCTACTTCACTCTTGCCTGGCAAGTGTATAAGGATCTACAAGGAAACGTCACTATGATAGGATATTAAGAAGTCGTTATCAACAAATAGTGTCTACTTGACTTTTGCTTGGCTTGTGTATGAGGATCTACAAGGAAAGGTCGCTATGAGAGGATATTAAGAACTCGCTATCCACAAATAGTGTCTACTTCACTCTTGCCTGGCAAGTGTATAAGGATCTACAAGGAAAGGTCGCTATGAAAGGATATTAAGAAGTCGTTATCCACAAATAGTGTCTACGTCACTCTTGCTTGGCTTGTGTATTAGGATCTACAAGGAAACGTTGCTATGGTAGGATATTAAAGAAGTCGCTATCCATAAATTGTGTCCACTTTGTCATCCAACAACCTCTGAGAAATGGCTAATGACACATACTTTACAGCTCAAGTTTCAAAATGGTGACTTCAAGACCACGCATTGAAAAAGTCGATTCAAAATTTTAAAACCGAACAAAGAAAAAATCGTGAGTGACGGCTGAGTAGGGTTTTTTGCGTTTGAAATACATATCCTTTTGAAGCGAGCAATGAACGATATCTCAGTCTGAATCAGCAGCACGGACTATAACTATCTTTCGAAATGCTCTGTGTCAGCTTCTCGAGGTCGCATGATCAGAAAACAGTCAACTCTGACTGGTCGAAAGACAGGCCGTTGTCAACGTGACCAGCAATTGGATATGCTGAGATCTTTGAGTGGTGGCACGGAGCACTACCATCTGATTTCTATCAGATCGATTTGATCTGTAATAGCCTCGAACTAGACGTCCTTGTCTGATAGAACATAAATGAATATCTTAGAGCTATGCTGACAAATATTAATTTCTTTAAGAGATTGCCCAAAAACGTTTCCATATGTATTTATCGATCTGCGCCAGGCAATATTAGACACATGTCATTTAGGGCTATCTAAGCAGACAATGCCCTAGGGCAAACCTTTACAACTTTAATTGAATTGGCCAAAATAATTATAAATATTATTAAGGCTGAAAACAGTTGACTTAAGGTTTAAAACAATACTATGGTACCCTTATCGAATTTACAGTAAACTACGGTTACAACGAACTCAAAGGGACCACTAAGTTAGATTCGTTATAACCGTAGTTCGGTATAAGAATGCACCGCATTTGTACAGCAAATGGTCGGCACAAAAAATGTTCGTTTTATCCGTCAGTTCGTTATAAGCGT